TTGTGTACAACTTTCTTATTGGAGAGCTTCGTGGTTTCTACCCCACTCCAAGTTAAAGAAAGAGGCACTTGTTTATTTGTTATTTTGTAGGATTTTGTGTCAAAGAGTTTGGTAGATTCCTTTTTGTAAAGATTTGTGTAGTATTTAGAGGTTCTTACAAGTTATGTTGGGTTTGATTGGACTTATTTAGTATGATCCCTATAGTATCATTTAGGAGTGACTAGTGCTTTCCTACTTGAATTGAGTTCTCTTAGTGATGATTTCTAAAAGAGTGAATTTTGGAGAGTTGAAACTTTTTGGGAGAATTATGTTTGTAGGTGCTTAGTGTCTTTTTTAGGAGCAAGATAGGAATCCCTTCCCTTTGTGTTAGCCTCTTAGGATAAAGAGAATGTTGAATGGGTTCAAAGCAAAGTGAATTTAGTTATAAGTCTAATTTCAGAGGTCTGTTTCCCTTAGTTGTTGTAGGTCTTGTTAGAATGTGTTATGGGTAGATATGTCGAACGTATCAAGTGTCTCGTTTGGAGTGAGAATAGCAAAGGGCATTGTTGTTGTTATAGGATGCACTTGACTTCTACGAAGTGTATCCAATACACCCCTTTTTGTATTTGATTTTCTTTCGTTGTTTTCTCCGTTATTTGTTTTATGTTTTTGGTGCTACATGCTTGCGAAACAAGGAGAACCTAAAGAACAAGTGGCTCAACAAATAACAAAAGGTACGTTCTAGTTTTTATTGCATTTTTCATTTCCTTACACTGTTGTTTATTTATAGAACTGCTCTAATACATGTCTTTTCTGTGTCTTGCGAGGTATTATTTTGGAAAGCAACGGATAAGGAACACTTGGAGCTGGAGCTAGGACAGTGGGATCCAAGTATCAGTCGTCCCTACTCATCTAGTAGGGGCGCTACGGGCGGAACCACCGGGTCGTAGCCCCCGGTGCTGTAAGTTTACTAAAACTTAGAAAACCTTTAGGGGCCTAGATGGTTGTACGCCTCCCACCCTTAGGGCCTTAGAAACTTCAATTATATTTAGGATTGCTTTTCTTATTTAGATCCCTAAAACCCTTTGACATCCGTGTAGAAGTCTTAGGAATTAGAAGAACAACACCACTTTTAGTCCTACAAACACTAGTGACATTTAAGGACAAAAATTAAGGACCGAGTCTTAGAAAACATAGACTTAGGGTGCATGTTCCTTATAGGATAGAGACTTTAAAACAACAACTTAGTGACACGTTTTCCTAGATTTAGATTTTGTTTTCTTAATTCACTAATAATCAACCAATTAATCTTAATCTAATTCTTAAAACCTATTAAAACACTTAATTCTTAATTAAATAATTATTAACATTCTATAACTATTAAACTTTAAATCTAAAATGTAAACCTAAATCAATTCTAATTAATTTAATAATCAACCCTTAACCAATCTAAAAATTTAAAAGATGTAGATTTAATTAGGAAATCTAATCTTAAATTAAAATTCATTAGGATAATACACTTCTAAATATCAAACCTTAGAACAACTTCTAAAAATCAATTAACCAATTTGATTAACAAAAATACATAATCCATCTTTTCTTTTATTTTCATAACCAACTAAAACAATAATCCAACAAAGTTAATTATCACTGGGTAACCCAGGCCTACGAGGCTATTAAGTTAGCCCCAAGGAGGGTGAAATAAACCTCACGGCCTCGGTGTGAAACAAAGGTGGTAATTAATTAAACATTAAAAATAAAAGATACCTAAAATCAACCCTAAAACACTAAGATTTGAATTTTAACTAAAATTTCCTTTGCCCTTTTTAACAAACAAAAATACAAACAACTTTAACTAAATCATCCTATATAGGACCTACCA